TTTTTTCTTTCTATTTTTTCTGTTGAATTCGAATTGAAGTGTTTAGGAGATTGAGTGGTAATATGTAATTTTGCTTAGCTTGCATTATTTTGCTTCTTTTTGATTCTTTTATTAACTAGTCTTTTGGCTACTGAGAAAATGAAGGATTATTTTATATTGTGCTATTTTTTGCTTGTTTTTGAGAATGAATGTCTGTTTTGTAGTCTGATTGGTGAGATTTTAATGGTTAGAATTTCAATTTTTATTATAAAGGAAAAAGGAATGTCTATTTTGTAGTCTGATTGAATTTTTTTTGCTATTGTTCTGTGTAAAAAAAGTGCTTTAAATTTCTGTTATAAAGGTAAATTTTTTTATAATTAAAATTGTCCTTGCATCATTTAATATATAGTAGGCACTAGACTGGCAGAAGCAACTTTTAAATTATTTTTACTTGTATTTGGCAGCAATACTTTTCATACGAAGATACCCTAAACAGTTGGGTGAATAAAGCTGTTGGTAAGAAGTGGAAGGATCATAAAAGCTGGTTGAAGGGAAGATTTTATTATCCTGAAAAGTCTGAGGAGGAAAATGCTAGAAATGTTCCATGCAATGCGTTACCTAATGATTGGCAGTACTTGGTACACTACTGGAAATCTGCTGATGGCAAGGTATGGAACTTCCTTTTAATTCTATGGTTTGTTTGATTACTCAAGTGTTGATAATAATCTTAAATTTTATAGAAAAAGGAAGAAAAATGCAAAAAGAGTCGAGCAATGCAGAAGATTACACATGCAACTGTTAGTAAGAGCTTTGCTATACTACGAGATGAAATGGTAAAATCTAATTTCAAATTTTTAATGTTCTTAAGAGCATAAAAAGACTACGTATATGAAATTTTGTTCTTATGTAGGAGGAGAAAAATGGTGGTGAGCTTGTGGGAGAAATAGATTTTGATATGGCTACTCATTTGAACAAAGATGGCAAATATGTTGATGAAGAAGCAGAAAGTACAGTGGTACATTTTATATTGCTACTCACTTGAATAAAGATGGCTAATATGTTGATAGATTAGTTTGTTCCCTATAATCTCTTTAATGCTCTATTATTTGCTTGTATAGAAAAAGGCCAAAGAAATGCACACAGAGAGGTTAGCAAACTAGCTCATTAGATGCAATATCCCTACAACAGGCAGTTATGTCTGAAGTGAGGGGTAAGGAGGCTAATGGTTGTGTTCGTGGCTTGGGTTTAGGGCCTACACCAACAAAGGTCTTTGGTGCTCATACATTTGCCTCTACAGCTGCTCAAAACCAAGAAGTTATTGAGTTGAAGGGTCAGGTGATTAAACTTAGAGAACAAGTGGCTTCTCTAGCTGCTCTAGTTAGGCAGTTGACTGCAAATATGAACCCTTAAACTTACCAGGTTGGTTCTTACCATTCCTATGA